TGTGTGTGTGTGTGTGTGTGTGTGTGTGTGATGTTATCACCACTGACTCAAGAATTATGGGAAATTCTGGGCCCCGAGCGCGCGCACGCACGCACGCACACACACGTCAGAGGTCTGGTAAGCCGAACCTCCGAACATTACACAAAGATGGAGAGGGGGAGATAACCGAGAGAAAAGGATAACGGAGGAAGGGGGTGAGAGAGACATGTCAAAGATTAACAGATGGAGAAAGCGCATATAATGCACAGCTGAGCGACACCGCAGGAAGAATATTGTCCCCAAGAAAAGGACGAATAAGACCAAAGCATATCAAATATCTGAAAATGAGAGAAATACAAAGACGGTTACTCAAACGAAAAAGTTAAACAGAGTGGAGGTGACACAAAACAGATGGAGGAACGTGAACAGAAAGGAAATGGAGGGAGGATGGGACGAGGGGGAACACCTGGAGAAAAGGTGAAAGGACACACATTCAGATGGATATACAAAAGGAGGAAGAAAGGGAATGAGATGATAAACATTTGAAGAGGAAATTTGGCCCAATACATCTGAAAGAGAAGTTGAAAAATGGAGGCAGGTGGACTAAACAAAGAGGAGTAAAGACAGAGTAATGATGGATAGAGAAAGAGAAGTGGGTGCACATAAGGATCATTCTGAAGTCATATTTGATATATCGTGTGATACCAATGACCCACACTACCATATCAAAACTATGAGAATGAGATAGCAGCAGGTAACCGCTCACTTTCCAGTCCCAAGTACATCTATGGTCAATTAAATTAAATTATTAGTTACAATAATTGCTTATTACTGAAGATCATTAAGTGAAACTACAGCTGAGATATAAGGACACACTCTCAACTGTTACACAAGTTGTGTGTACTTTTGACCTGTTCAGGTTGGTATACATATGAACACGTGACCTGGTTACAACCTCCTTACAGATGTTTTTAATGAAACTGCACTTGTTTGTTATCATGGTGATACCAGGCTTATCGTATCATTTGTTATTTCATAGTCTTAGGTAAATAGAATTAAAGTAGTTCAGCTGAGGTTTCTTTGTATGTACCTTCTTCTTAAACAGTGGCACTTTCCTAATTGTAGTATAATCAACCTTTTATTTACGAGGTAAATACTTAGTAATTAGTGAGCTGTAAAAAAAAAAAGGGTTACCGGTCCTTAAACTCAAATCCATAGGGGAGTGGACGGGAAGTTCTAATAAAATGGAATGTCACTGCTTCCTCCTTCTCACCTTGATAACGAAAAGATAGAGAAAGATACTTTCTACCCTCTCATCTCAAGTTGAGCATTGTTAAAAAGTTATTGAACACGTTTTTGGGTTATAGACTTTCGGACTTCTGAGTTGAGCTTTCTAAAAATAAACGTTTCTCCCTGACCATTGGCACTCCTGCAAAACAGACACAAAACATCTTCATCACCTCCATATGGGAATAACCCTTACCCAAAAGCAGCGTCTTTAGCTGAACAACTTGACATCCAAAGTGAAATGAAAAGCAGAGCATCAAAAATAACAAACTGCACTGGAGATCAAATATTTTGGGTCCCTCTATTCAGAGAAATGGGTTCCATCCAGAATGCCCTAGTCATCTGTGTAAAGCGTATTAGCCGATTAATAATAGCTAGATATCTGTGTTGCCGTGTCCTCTTTCTTTCTAGCTCTGGTTCAAAATCTCCAGGGGAGCTGATTTAAAGTTTCACTGAAATAGGACTTCTGTAAAGCCACGGCCCTTGTCTTTATTTCTGAGGTGGTGATTTAACCTCAGACAACAGAGAGAGAAAGTTCATTCGACCAAAAGGAGGTAAGAGAAGGAGCACGGTATCATTTCTACCGTCCAGATTTTGTGAGCCAGATTTAACCTGCGTCATTGAAGAAACTTAATGCTCAGAAAAGTAGACAGAAGCCACCGTGCAACGGAGTGATTTCTGGAAGGTGTAAAGACACCACAGATGTGACTGAAAAAAAAACATCTTAGCAGCTGCAACATCCAACTTTGGACATTAAAAACCAGCTACCATTATGACATTATGTCACTGGCTGACTGTTTTCTACATGTCTAAATACCCACCTTTCTCTCTCATTGGCCCTGGTGGTCTGAATGTTTTGAGACAGATTTCAGACTTGTGGCCAACAGCGAGCCGCATTCCCGCTACTGAAGCAAGAATAGAGCCACAGTCCAGCTCAGTGATGCCAACATTAACAAAGATGAAAAGGACTAAGTAAGTAAGGAAAGAAAAGCCAAACACTGCGGCACATGAGGCAGATGAGTTGGCTCCGCTTCATCCTCACATTCCCAGGGAAGAAGAGGCCGTTGAGTCAGAAGTTGTTGTTGTTTTAAGATTAAATCTGACAATAGTGTGACAGTTTCAGTAATCGTGCTCACATGGGATTGAGAATTCTGGTTCATGTCTGTCTATAGCTATTTTCTCTTTTTGTTTATGTAACACTGAAACCAACTCGTGTTACATATCTTTGTTAATCTAAAGATAATCCATCATTTAATGGGACAGTTTTTTAGTTCGGTCAACATTTGAGGTCATTGTTATGGATGTTAACAATGAAAATCTCATCTTTCAACTTTGTCTTGTCGTCTTTTGTCTGAAACTGGCTCTTTCACCCTGTGTGTTCATGTCCCAACCTGACTTCATTTTAGCAATGTTGCCACATTCCCAAATGTCCCAACTAGGAGAGTCGTGGGAAAAAAAGATAATTGGAAAGGAAAGAACAAATAACACAACTTCACATGAAAGCAAGTCTATAAAACAGGGTTTTAGATGTTACTTTAGTGATTCTATGAGCATTATCGCTTCAGGCAGGTGACTCATAGGACTGGGGTCATTGGTGACATTTTATGTTTGGAACTTGAATTCCCTATAAAAGTGTTACTGCCAATAAAAATAGGACCAAGACAGCACGCATGAGTCCGACTAACCAACAGAACCAGGCAGGGTTTGCCTATCTCTTTACTTTAAGTGACATCTACACAGTACTGTATATGCAGTCGTCTTTTCTGAATCTGTGTTCCAACTTGTAGCTTCTCCACAGCTGAAGTGACTTCTAACAAACTCCAGTTGTGTGTCTTCAATGAACGGCTTGCTCTCGTTGTGTGCAGAGATTTCATCTTCACGATGTAAAGACTTAATGACGCTTGCTGAAACAGTGTCCACCGCTGCACCGCAGGCGACAAATGGCCTATGATCGCAATCACCACACACACCCCACACACAACACACACACAAACACACACAACACACTACACACACAACACGTACACACACCTTACACACACAACACACACACACACACACACACACACACACACACACACCACACACACACACACACACACACACACACCACACACACACACACACACACACACACACACACACACACACACAACACACACACACACACACACACACACACACACACACACACACACACACACACACACACACACACACACACACACACACACACACACACACACACACACACACACACACACACACACACACACACACACACACACACACACACACACACACACACACACACACACACTGAGTATTTAAAGCCCCTGTGTGTTATGTGAATGCAAGGACACATGCGGACACACGTGCAGACAGACAGCATGATGTGTGCTCTGGCCCAGATCATGTACACACACACACATGAGTACACACACGATCACACACACCCAAACAAGCAGACACAACACAGTGGTAATATTAGCTATCAACAGGTCATTCCGTACATGCCTTAAGGATAAATAGGCAGCTAGAAATAAAAAGAGGGACACTGGTTTGTGTGTGTGTGAGAGAAAAGTCGAAAAACATAGAGAGAGAAGTGGGTGGAGGGATGGGGGAGTAAATTAAGCTGTCCTGAAATATCATTTGATACACATGAAGAGGTTTCACAGAATGTACAAATAGCCATTTTGAGAATTTGGCCTATTTTCATTTTAGAAATAAACATCTGAAATACACATTAAGATGTTCATTTTAAACTGTATCTATATTTGTTTCATAGATTCAAATAAGATAGTGTCTTATTTGAATAATTAAACATTAAAGAAAATGTATATTTCATAACAAATGTGGGCTAATGTAATTAATCGAAGGGGGATAGTGACATCTGTTAAATGTGCACTATTCACCTGTATGTCTACCGTTAAAAGGTGGAGAGGAGACAGAGGAAGACGTAACAAAGACATGGAAGATGATTAAAACAAAAAAATATGTTATTCTTCTACACTGCACAACCGTAATCAGAATCTCAAACCCTACATCCTGCTGACGCACTGTCTACTACATCTGGCTAATCATGTCAACAAATGGCTAAAATCCAATATTACCAAACTAATGGCTTAAGCGCAGCCACCAAAGACATGCGGGGGGGGGGGGGGGGGGGTATTGGGAAACAGAGATTGAGGGAAAGAGATGGAGGACTAAAAGGATGAAGACCACAAAGACATCGGGGGGAGACGGAGGAAGAGAGGGGAGAGGAGGCAAACAAGGCCGGGACAAATTGATGAAAGCCAATTTGGCTGAACTAATGGACTGGATAAAACCACAATGAGAGACAATGAGACACTGAAGACGAGGAGGAAGAATCGAAGAAAAGATAAACTAAATGGCAGGAGGAAGAAGGAGCTATGTGGAGCTCAAGGAAACAAATCAAAAGTGTATTGTCCATTTGCGTTGGTGCATCAAAAACCCATTGTGGTCTGCTGTAGAATGGACCTTTAGTATTCCATCACGTCTGTTTTTGTGAATGCGATGCACCTTGAGAACAAACTGCAGTGATGGAAGAAGTACTCAGACCTTTACTTAAGTAAAAGTAGCAATACTATGGTGTAAAAATACTCTGTTACAAGAAAAAGTCCTGCATTCAAAAGTGTACTCAATTTAAAAATCCACAAAGAAGCTGGTAGCTATTCCTTAGAACAGCTGTGGTGGAGTAAAGAGTGTCTCACCAGGTTGGAGCCTCCAGTCCAGTAGAGGAAGAATCCATCGGGGTCAACTTTCAGGGTCACCAGGGTGGGGGGGCCGCTGTTTGGCTCCTATACAAGAGCAGACGTAGAGAAGTTAGTGGGACAAAAAATAACATCCGTTTCTTCTTCAAACACAATTAGAAGTTAAGTGAGGTCCATGTTTAGAAGCAGATGGGTACAGGGTTATTACAACCGGTGTCTTATCTCAATTCATTCAGCCATACATTCTATTGGCTGTAAAGACTTCAAAGTCTTCGCTGATGCCTGGAAACATGGCGCACAAAGACAAAAACAGGGATATAGATGATCAGTGCAGCCATATTATGTGTATTAAGTTATTTAAAAAGGTATAGCTGAAATAATAACCTTTGTGAAAGCCAAAGTCACAGTTGGGTTATTTTAACTGACAAGCAATATGAAGTACGTCATTTATACAACGTTACAATATTTAACCCAAAACAGGTTTCAAATGATGTTTTCCAAATCCTAGCCACATATATTGAGCACTAACGTAATCTTGTATACCATTACATTTAAAAAGTAATATAGTTGTCTTAACAATAGACCTGAAACGATATGACTTTATACTATATTTTGATATGCAAAAATACATAAGAAACAAGAGGTAACAAAAGATAATGAACTGACTGATAATGAACAGCTGTTTAGATGATGCAAACAACGGTTTGGCCGTCTCATTCATGTGCAGTATAATGATGGCACAGGAGCCTTCATCAACATGTCATTAGCATCATCATTATGTGGTCATACATATACTCACACACATACACACACACACACGCAGCTACTGGCTCTGTAATTACAGTGGTAAGCGCTCGTACTCCGGTCCAGCAGACAAACATAACGTCCAGACATCCTGGGAAACAGCGATGATGATCTAGATTGTTTGTTATTACAGTGACAGATGACTCATGTGCACATATGGCATTACAAACATCAATATCATCATCTTCATCTTCATCAGGGGAAGATCTGCCCAAAACCTTCCCAATGACACCGAATATCAGAGGGAATGCAGCAAGATTTTAAAAACGCACGACACAAACTGATAGCCACATAAAAGGTATTTCTTAATGAGATAGAACATCAATCCATTGATACAAAGAGATACTCTACTTATGACAAGCAAATTATCCAATAATACATATCACTTTATAGTTCAATAAATGACTATTTCAATCATGTATACTCACAATAATCAGGCTCGCCTTGTATGGGGGAATAAACATTGGTAAGCAGAAAAAAAGCTTTAAACAATAGAAATGATTTAAAAAAGGAATTATAAGATGTCTTTACGCTCACTTAAAATCATGCTTCTAATCCATCTCTCCACAAGGAAGCGAATATGTGTAGCTACCTAAAGTTATATATATATATTTGTTATGTTTTTCCCCCAGGAAATGGACATTTTTTAGTGCATTTCAAGCCAAACATACCTTGAGTTTAGGCTCCGCAGTTGGCTTACGGAGAAAGAGTTAGCAGGAGAGGAAGATGTGTGGATTTGGATAAGGAGGAGGAGGTTTGAGAGAGAGAAATATGGGAGAAAATGGTGAAGGGTGAAAGAAATAAACCAACATTTTAGAGGGAGTAGAAGAAATCCCTCAACATCACGAGACCTTAATTAGCTACAGTGGATTAAACGTTTTTTTAAAACCAGTTGGAAATTTGCCAGCTGTCTTTCTGGGCTTTTATATGAATCCCAGTGGGTTTGTGATGTGAAGCCACGTCGGAGCTGTAAATCACTCGCTGCGATTAGGCTGTGACCTGATGTCAGATTAGGCTGCGACTTGATGTCAGATTAGGCTGCGACCTGATGTCAGAGTAGGCTGCGACCTGATGTCAGATTAGGCTGCGACCTGATGTCAGATTAGGCTGCGACCTGATGTCAGATTAGGCTGCGACCTGATGTCAGATTAGGCTGCGACCTGATGTCAGAGTAGGCTGCGACCTGATGTCAGATTAGGCTGCGACCTGATGTCAGATTAGGCTGCGACCTGATGTCAGATTAGGCTGCGACCTGATGTCAGAGTAGGCTGTGACCTGATGTCAGATTAGGCTGCGACCTGATGTCAGATTAGGCTGCGACCTGATGTCAGAGTAGGCTGTGACCTGATGTCAGAGTAGGCTGCGACCTGATGTCAGATTAGGCTGCGACCTGATGTCAGATTAGGCTGCGACCTGATGTCAGATTAGGCTGCGACCTGATGTCAGAGTAGGCTGTGACCTGATGTCAGAGTAGGCTGCGACCTGATGTCAGATTAGGCTGCGACCTGATGTCAGATGCTCTCTTCAACTGGGGATTTAGTGTCAAGGCAGAGCAGAACATGATTACAACTGATTGACACATCCTGTTTATATTAGTAGATCAAACTGTGCTTTCAATGCAAATTGTTTGCAAATCAAAAATGCATCTTGGGGGATGGAGGCAAATGAGAATGTTTGCTGCTGCTGGTAAACAACAAAAGAATGTTGTATTGTTTTGGTTGACATTTGAATGCTTTTATAAATGCATTCATTGTGTTTTGATATGGTTTATCTGAACTGCATTATTATGCATTATTATAACATTGGTAGACTGAGGTAGGATTGTTCCTGGGTTATGATTCAAATGTCTAATAATCTCAGAGCAAAATCCATGTTTTATCTATCCAAATATCCAGCTTCCATTCATACTTGATGAGGAAGATTGTCAGAACAAAAGAACAGTTGGCTCTGCAGCTCACTGCACACAAAGGGAGAAACACACCTGTATTAACTAACAGCACCATCAATTACATTTATAGACCCACAATAACATCATAAACGTCATCTGTTCATCATAAAATATAACGACAGACATTTGAAAGCCTTAATAGAAGCTTGAGACATTAGGTTCAGCCCTATACAGTAAATCATGTGTTATGGTAGCTGTGGTGATGCTGCAGTTATGAAACCCTCTCTTTACCCTGTCACTATTTCATTCTTCTCTTGACAATTCACACTTTGCAGTATAGATACACACATGTATGGAAATGTGATCTATAGGCTGATGTGACATTATATTTCAACAGCTGCATATTCCCTGCAGGCCCCCCACACACACACACACAACACACACACACACACACACAACACACACACACACACACACACACACACACACACACACACACACAACACACACACACACACACACACACACACACACACACACACACACACACACACACACACACACACACACACACACACACACACACACACACACACACACACACACACACACACACACACACACACACACACACACACACACACACACACAACACTCTTTAGTGCTGCCGTTCGCCATGACGCGCATTTCTGTTCACTCTGTCTTTTATCTCTTTCTATATGGAGTCTTTCAACCTTTTCATGTTCACACATTTCCTAGCTTGATTCTTTCATTTGGTTAGTCTTAGCATCAATTAAGTGTCCAAATGAAATGAAATGTCAAGGTCATTGTAGTATGCATTAGTTAAAAGGTAAGTCCTTAAAATATGCTTAACATTATAATGTGTTAATAATAGCTTCATAAACATGTCCGTTGTTAGATTACAAAATACATTTATAAACTTAAAAGTTAATGTACTGCTTTGGAACGCAAATACAATACTTAAGACTTTCGTCATCACCTTTTCTGGCCAAAACGTACCCCTCTTCACATCAGTTACCAACCTGGGTGTATGATTTGACCGACATCTGACCTTTGACACCCACATCAAAGACCTGTGCAAAACCTCCTTCTACCACCTCAGGAACATTGCAAAACTCCGTCCTACACTCTCCCTGCCAGATGCTGAACAACTGGTCCATGCCTTCCTTTCCTCAAGGCTTGACTATTGCAACGCTCTCCGCATCGGGACTCCTAGCGGGAGCCTTCAGAAGCTCCAATACATACAGAACAGTACCGCTAGGATCCTGATGAGGGTGAGAAAGTACAACCACATCAAACCCGTCATCTATTGCCTCCACTGGCTTCCTGTCTCATTCAGGATCAAATACAAGATTGCATTACTGACTCATCAGTGCATCCACGGGAATGCTCCTCCATACCTCAAAGAACTACTCTCATCACAAACCTCCACACGCAACCTCCGTTCCACAACAAACCATCTGCTTCGCCCCCCCAGGACCAAACTCCGCACAAAGGGGGATCGGGCTTTCTGTGCAGCGGCTCCTTACCTGTGGAATTCCCTCCCAGACCACCTGAGGACTGACGCCTTCAAGAAAGGCCTAAAAACCTTTCTTTTAAAAAAAGCTTTTGATTTGAGTTTGTTTCTTTTGTTTGTTTTTTACACCTCCTGCAGCACTTTAGGGTTGCTTTTAGCAATGAAAGGTGCTTTACAAATACAATTTATTATTATTACTTTCTTAAACTAAATTATAACAGCATTACAAACCCTTGTATATACATTAATAGGAAGTAATCAACAGGTATTTCAGAATGGAAATAGCCGTTGTTTATTGTACTAGTCATTTTTTCTTGTTTGGGTTTATTACAGCCACTCTTGTAAACGTTTTAGAACTCAAAGGGTCACTGTGGTTTCCAGATGGAAATAAGGGAGATGTCAGAAACCTAAATTATTACTTCATGCCGTTGACACACGCACCTTGTTTACCATAAACATGCACCCTGTGGTGCTGAGAGGGGGTGGTAGGGTTATAATTAAAACTCACCCTCTCCCTAATTAATGGCCATATGTAGAAACCTTCTGAAGTCTCGCCTCATTTCCTTCCTTTCATGTTTTTCTTTCTCTATGCATGTCAATCATCCTCCAGTTCACCCTCTCCCCAACACTTTGACTTTGTATGCCCTCCCTAATTCATTTAATGCCACGTCTCTTTCTCCGGATGCCCTGACCCTTTGACACACACACACACACACACACACACAACACACACACACACACAACACAACACACACACACAACACACACACACACACACACACACACACACAACACACACACACACACACACACACACACACACACACACACACACACACACACACACACACACCACAC